TAAACATAATCTCTTGTCTGCTTTTGATTTAGTTTTCTATGTGAATTCTATTTCAAATTATATCACTTATATCTTGAGTCTTCTGTGTGAACTTTCTTAATATAATACTATATCTTGATTTTTCTATGTGAATTATCTTGATATATTATCTTACATAACAAAAAGATTACATATATGTATGAATAATCTGCTCATATACAAAAGTTTAAATATACACATTTACAAAAAATATGAATTATCATTTGTATTGCAAATTTTTTCTATCTAATACAACTATATACAGATAATGGTATTGAATTTTTCAACAGAATAATGAATTGAAGCATATGTCAATAATATTGATGATGATCTTGCTACTCAGCATCAAATTGTGTTCTTTCATGATTATCCTACATTCTGAGCTTAATCCAATTGAAATATCTTAAGTGAAATGTTGAAAAAATGATGAAAATTCATTATGTAAAAAAATTGGTATCACTGAAGAATTTTACTAAACATGTATTAATTAAGAAGAATAAGAAAATCTTCTGAATGAGGTGTATCACCAATATTCAAGCCTGTATTATATGTAGTCCTATTAAAAATGTTAAATATATCATTTTTTTATTTTTATTTTATAATAAAATTTTCAATTAGCAAAATTTATATATAAAAATTAAAACAATAGAAATATACAGTATGTTATTTTTTATTTATTCGCTGGATTCGATTTTTCAGCTGTTATTTCATTATTAAATAAAAAACAAAAAAAATACTAAATTTAATAGGGTGGCCATAGAGTGTTTGATTGTATCGATATCGATATAATTTATTTAAACCAGAACATGAGTGTTATTATGACGAGGCTTTGAGAGTTTAAATTAAAAGAACTATCGTGAGAATGTACTTTAGAATATAGTAACGATAAATAATTCCTTTTATCAGTGATATAATGAACAATATATCATCCAAAAATGCTGTTTTAAAGCGCATATAAAGATCAGATAGTTTAGTAGGAAACTTTTTATTATTATTTTATATTCTCTGATAATGTGCTTTATATACTTGATTGCTGCTTTTATTTTCGTTTTCAAGGGTGTTATAAAAATTTTTTCAACTAAAAATTATATAACGAATGATTCACCTCAAAATTCACCTTGTAAACGTCCCGGTTGTAAGAATCAATGTTACGTTGAAAAAAACGGTACGATTCATCCTTTTTGTGGAAGAACGTGCGCCAACAAATCCAGGGTTTCGGCTTCAGCCTGCGTTTATCCCGGCTGTTTGAGAAAATGTTATGTTGACGCCAACGGTGTCAAACATCCTTATTGCGGGAAAACATGTGCTCGTGCTGCCGCGAGTCTTGCATCACTCGTTCCCAAATGCGCACGAAGTGATTGTAATAAACCGGTTAGTGTTGACACGCAGGGAATCACTTATTCTTATTGCAGTAAGGATTGTGCGAAAATTGGATTCAAAAAAGTTGGACCCAATTGCTCCCGCAAAGGATGCACTCAAAAAGCATATAGGGATCCAATGAATGGGAAGATGTTTCATGCTTTTTGTTCTAAAGAGTGTTACTGGCAGGATTGCGCAAGGCTTGTTCATACGAGATTAACGGTTTTGACTGAGAATGATATTGATTATCAATACATATTCAAGAAATTTACTGGCGATATGATAAATGCTTCTATAAAAGCCATTATCAGAATCCAGATGCCACAGTCAAAGATTGATAGGCACTTGAAATTGAAAGCGAAAAATTCTGCAACCATCACTCTAGAAATGTATCATGGGACATATTCTGCTTGCGATCCGATGAAAATAGTCGCCAAGAAAACACCATGCTGTAGCAACGCATGTGGTCTGTGTGGAATTATACGAGAGGGTAACCGGAGCATATATTCAAAATATAATGGATGTAAGTGTCATCTTGATTTTTAGGAGACATTAATTCGAGATTTACTGAATACATGTATATTTTTGGCATTAGCGATGTGGTTTGCTGACAATCCTTCGGTTTCTTTGGGTTATTGCCGCTCCACATGTGGCAACACCGATGCTATTTTCATTATTGATGTTCTCGCAAATGGGCCTTCCAGTATTTATATAGCTCAAGAAGATGATGTAAGTCAATTATTTTGTAGATTTAATAAAGCGATAATGGTAACTGACTTTTTACTCAATCCAAATAGGCTACCTTACCCAGATTCTTGGTGCTTTTAGGAAGAAAATACTTTTAATTTTTGAACCGAAAGTTTTTATTTTACATATACGTTATACGTTTATGTGGTTAGAAATGCATACATGTACAATTCTATTATTAATTTCGTTAACGTTAAATAAATTTAGTCATTTGTGAGAACGATTTTTAATATATATTATACGATTGAAAATTACAGCATAATAACCCTTTTGTTTTTAAATATTTATTAGCGTTAAATATACGCTTTGACAATGCTCTAAACGTTTTTATAGAAAATAAGACCAAATTTGCTAGATTCATTTTAAAAAAAAACCGATAGGGAGTTAAAGTAATATCAGTTGTTTTTAGTATAGATCCTACTCCAAAATCATATGAGAGACTATAAAAAACCTCTAAAGTACTTACCCGTTTTGTTTTACCTAATACATTTAATGGGTGTTTTTATTCATACGATAATATCGATATAGCCGGATGCAAAACAAAACCTTTCTTTTGTGGATTATTTTAAAATGCCTTTTGTTCCGCAATTTCCAACAATCAGGTATTCTTCCTTATGCACCACAGAAAATCCGAAACAATCCCATTGAGAAATAATTAATAACGATAATGGTAGATAACAAACAAACAAAAAGAATAAAAAAGTAGTCGTTTTAAAATGTGAGTATATGCGGGGATTAAATTTTAAAACAATAATACATGTGCATACATGTAAATTATAATAATCATAATAGAGAATAAAAAAGCTGTAACAATGAGATACATGTAATCTTCAACTTCAAATTGTCGGGAAACAATGTGCGTGCATGCACTCTGCATTACACATGTGACACGAAGAAAAATCATATTATTATCGTTATCAATAACGATAATAAAGATGATATCGATATTATCATGATCGTTATCATTATCGTTATTGCTGAATAATTTAGCCACAACCTGATAATATTCACACATATTCGGCCCTTTTATAAATCATCAATGCATCATTGTTTTCTTTGCTCATTCTTTACGAATTTCGCCGCCGATAAAACTGAATCAACGTCTGCATTCACTTTTTCTATTTCTAAACGTCAATGATGATTGAAAAAAAAGCATACGATAAAACAATGAAATTAGTAATTTGAGGGGTCGTTTTGTTGTGGAGAAATAGGAATTGTAGATGAGTTACGGGGTATAGTCCTGCAGGATTGGTTTTAACCCTTGTTTTTCTGGATTGTGGCTCAAATATTCAAAATCCTTTTTTTTGCATTTAATATGTAAAAGAGAAAACCTAGACCTTAAATGAAATTGATGTGTGCGATTAAAGAAAAATTTTTTTAGTTTCTTTTTTTTTATTCAAAATGATCCGTGGGAAAGTACAATAACAAAAAACTTGCTCTAACCGAGAACACATCCGGTATCAAAAATTAAGATTGCTGCGCTATTAGTGGTCAAAAAAACGCGAGACAAAAATTGATGTTCCTTAAAAATTAAAACGAGTGTCGTGATCCTACAAAAACCGTCTCCTTCTTCACCTGGCATTACTTATTCATCGTCATACATGTATTATCTTAATTGTAATTAAAAAAAAAAGTGTGACATATCAATTAAATCAAACGCCGCCGCGACATTAATGTTATACGTGAATACTGTCTGTGTCCTTTAATGCAAGGCACAAAAGGCGATGATACTTTTCTTTTTTCGTGTGCTTTCTTGTTTCAAGTCCTGTTTTATTGTTGACTTGTGTTAGTTGTCGATCAGCCATACGAACAAAAACTGGAAATCACAGAAATCACACGGCATCGTTATTTTGCATGTGTGTATTGCATGTAGTTTCCCTCTCTGCAAAGGAGCCAATACGAAGGCGGCGCTGATTCAAAGGACAACAATGTATTTTTGAAAATCCCTTTGTTCTCATTTCAAAATCAGGTTTTCAATATCACCATTACGGATAAAAATTAACGTAACCTTGTTTTTTTATTGTGGTATACATGTATTAATTATGTTATTTTTGACAGGTTATTATAAAAATTTATGTTGATTATATTCTCGTCAGGGGGGTACCGGAGTTAATGATTCACACACAACGGTAACGAACCACTTTTCTCTATTTATACTCCCGGTCATCGACGTCAAAAAAAACTTGTCCTTTAATTAACAGTATCTGAACCACAAAATCTGTTATTATTTCAAGACCTAATAATCTGAAAGAGATAATCGTGATCTGAATCACAAATTTCTTTTGACAACAAAAAAGAAATATCCATTATCTATCACCATATAAACATTATTTGACAATGGCACTTGAATTTCTGACTTATCTGTCACGAGATTTTACTCGACTTTTGGATAACGCGTATGATCATGACGTTGAAATACAAGTTGGCGAAAAGGATGACGTGCAGACATATAAAGCACACTCGTTAATTCTACGAGCACGGTCGACTTACTTTGCTACTGCACTAAGCAATGAATGGGCACGCTCCGAAGAAAATGATAGCAACATTATCTCATTTAAGAAACCAAATATTTCCCCATTTGTATTTGGTGTCATATTAAGGTGAGAATGAAATTTAAATTTATTCCTTTTTTGTTATACAAAAACGGGATTTTATAGAATTAATAATTTATTATGTAATGATAATAAACAGATATATTTATGGAGGAGTTATATATTTAGCCAAATACAACGGTGCAGAAGTACTTGACTTATTAATCGCAGCCGATGAATTGGGTCTAACCGATTTATTTGATTTCATTCAAAATCATCTAATCAGTGAAAAAGCCGATTGGATACGCGAGCATTTTGCGCTCGCGCATAAAATTGCGTACCAACATGAGTCATTTTGGAAATTGCAACAATTCATCCAAATGATTAAAGACAAACACCCAGAGGTGGTGTTCAAAGCGGTAGATTTCACTGCTTTGGAAGAAGATATGCTTGTTTCTTTGATATCACGTGATGACATCGCTATAGAAGAAATTGATATTTGGGCACGGATTATGGATTGGGGTCTTGCGCAAATGCCACCCTTTACGTTTGATATTTCTCAATGGAGACAAAATGAATTTGCTGCTCTAGAAAAATTACTTCATAAGCTCATACCGCACATTAGATTCTTTCAAATCTCGTCGGAGGATTTCGATGAACGTGTTGTCCCGTTTAAATCGATCCTACCGAGACGACTTTATCGTGATGTTTGCAATTACATGTTGCATCCTGACGACATTCCGAAGATAAAATCACCGATCCTACCACCAAGACTTGGGAATTGGAATTGGTTAGTGATGAACATGAAACCGATGCAAATCGATTCAATCCTGATAAATGTAAAGCACGCAGCGTTGGCTGCGATTTGGATCGATCAGAAAAATATTGAGGCACATTTCGTGACTAATCCATTCGAGTTCAAGTTACTATTACGAGGAAGTCGAGATGGTTTCACGCCCACCTCATTTCATCGTCTGTGCGATAATCAAGGGCCCACGTTGACTGTGATTCGCGTAAAAGATACAGACGAAATAATCGGCGGCTACAATCCATACAGTTGGAATTTGCACTCTGGCTTTGAGCGAACAAACGACAGTTTTATCTTCTCGATTGATGAAAACGACTTATCCGCCTCTTTTTGCTCATTGGTCTCTAATTCGTCAAATGCCGTAAAGTCACATACGAAGTGTGGTCCTTCGTGGGGTGATGGTGATTTATGTTTATTTGGTCATAATTTCCGCGAATCAAAGCTTTGTCGTACTAGACAGTGTGATTATGAACAAAAAATACGTAGCAGTAGCGAAACCTTTTCAGTTCACGAATACGAAGTTTTCCAGGTGATTCGCACAAATGGAATGGGAATGAATAAAGGTTATTAGTTGAACAAAATTGTGTTTATTCACGCGATCAGTTCCGCGTCAAAAAAAAACCTTCTTCTGTATCATAAATTTTTGTTAGTTTTTTGTATATTATTTTTTTATTTTTCCCTTTTCTTTTGTCTTTCAAGGTGTGTATTTTAAAAAAATGTTATTCTGGTCGTATATCGATCGATATTGAAAAAAATAAATTTACCATTTTCATGTTAGAGTTAAACCTAATTTTTTAGCAAATGACGAAAACGGAAAGCACATATCGATTTTTTTTTATGCAGAAGACTATACCAAATAAAGTATTTGTTTCAAATTCTTTTTCCGCCACCGTCGCTAATTTCTACATGGAGTAAAAGAGTTGTTTTATTCAAAAATAACGTGATCTAAGTGTCACAGCAATGTTGTTATCGTTATGTTATTGCTATTTATGAACTTACTTTTGTTAACCTAATTTTTTAAACTATTTACATGTATTTCGATAATCATAGCGATAGGTCCATTTAAAATACAGAAATGGTGGTAAAAGAAGAAAATTATAAAAAAGCAGCGAGAGTAACGGGAAAAAATGTTGACCCGGATGATATACTTTTAAACAACCTTGTATCCATATTCATTGACTCGGTGAAACGTGGCGAAAAGGAGAAAAAAATTGTTGAATCATTCATCGCCAGAATTTCCGCATTGAAAACCACCACCAAACATGTCTTCAATCTTTTCTCCAAACTTCAACATCTGCCACTTTACCAATGTCTCCTGGGATTCGCGTTCGAATATGGAATTGGGACCAAAGTGAATCTATATTTGGCCTTCATCTGCTATAAAACTTCATCCGAGAATTTTAATTCATTGGGCCAAGTGTATCTGGCGAAATGCTACAAACACGGGAAGGGAACAGAGAAGAACAATATTGCGGCGTTCTGGGAGTATTTGAAATCGGCGATTGGCGGGTGCAGCGAGGGTCAATATGGGGTGGGAAGATGTCATGAAAATGGCACCCCGATTCGCGCATCGCATGTGGTCAGTTTCATGCAACAACAAAATATCCGAAATACCGGTTTAAATGCATATGAACTTTCTTGTCCGGGTGTAATGTCACTTTATCAATCGGAGGCGAATACAAAGAATCAACGGGCCTTTTTCTGGTTTGAAAAAGCGGCGTCGAATGGAAATATTCAAGGTCAATACGTGTTTGCACATTGCTACGAGAAAGGAAAAGGCATAGCAAAGAATCAAGAACTGGCATTTCATTGGTACAAGGAATCAGCGCAGAGTGGTCATCAGATGGCGCAATCAAAAACGGGATTTTGCTACTTTGATGGAAACGGCGTCACAAGAAATACATTCATCGCTTTCGGGTGGTTTTACAAGTGTGCTCGGAATAAACTAAAGTGCGCAGAAAGACATTGGGTTGCACGGTGTTTTCGGAATGCCAGGCACACCAGAAAAGACGAGAGAAAAGCTTTCTTGTTGTATCAGATGGAACTGATCTATGATCGGAATCCGAGGGTGAATTATGATTTGGCCAGTTGTTTTAAGAATGGGTGGGGTACTCCGAAAGATGTCCATCAGGCGATAAAGTTGCATCGGAAAGCTTTGAGAAATGAATTGAAATCAAGGAAAAAGTTGTTTAAAATGTTTAAAATTGACTTTTATTGACCCGCGCTGCACTTAATCATTGCAAGTGAAAATTTCAAAAAGGGGAAGGACTTAATTATTTTTGGTGAGAGGGAAATTTGTGAAATTTTTTTGCTTTTTTTTTACAATAAGGATACTGTACTATCAAAAATTCCATTCGCATCAAATTTTGAAATATTTTTGATCTCTAACGACCTAGCAATACCTAAACTCCAGAAGACAATTTTGATTATTTTAGCATCATAGAGCTTGTTTATATAATAAAAAAATGAAAGAGCTTATTTAATCGATCGCTTGGATGATAAAATATAATTAGCGATCTACAAGAAAACGAAATGTTTTAATAACTGAAACGTATCGGTATGAATAAACCTGCTTATTACATGTACATGTATCATAGATGTTTCAAAGAAATCTTTTCAATATATTATTTCAGAAAAATTTATGCATGAAATATACAACATTCACTTGAACAAATCTATCTATAACAAAGATTTTTAAAAATTTTCTATATTAATAGAGCTACTTACACACAAAGAATTTACGTCAACGAAACTTTAATTGGAACAATGATTACGTTAATTGTTTTTCATTTGTACAATACATATGCCATAAATATTAGTATTTTCTACAATATAAAAAATGTCATAGAGAAAACGGGGAAAATACTTGGCACTCGTTGATTTAGCATGCTTCTTTCCTCATACAGTTACATTTCCATGTAGAATAAGAGAAAAAACCTTTATATGTTTACGAGACATTATGTTTGTTACTTTTATTACATTAATATTAATTAAAGTGTAAATCAACCTCTCTATAACGGCATTTTGAAAATTTTTTTTATTAAAAAAAAAGGCCAAAAGACTTTTTACTGTGCAAAAAGATCTACGGAAAATGGGAACTATATAGGAGCTTATAATCTGCCTGATTGTTACTGTTGGGGAATAGGAACGTCTGTCAGTTCGGTTTATTGGTACAAGCGATCAGCAGAGGCCGGAATGGGCATATAAAATTCACCTCCCTATAACAACAACATTATTAATGATTCCCTTGACAACGAAATTTGTGATATCGTTAACGTATAGATAGCGATAGTTTTGTTGATGTCACGAAATTAAACAAACACAAGAATGTCTAGATCTTTAAGTAGGAAAGAAATCAATAATAATCAAAAACAGCTTTAATTATTTTCCGGAAAATCCCCGACAATAAACATGCTCCGATAAGAAGATAATTTTATGATTGTGTTGCAAACAATGACAATGATTATCCAATTTTGATTTAATTAAATTTTGCCAACTTTCATATCGATATCGAGATTGCTCACAGAAATTCAATTACGATAAGATTCAATTTATCAAAGTTTAAGTTTGAGATAAACATGAAATACGTAACTAAACGAAAGTTTCAAAGAGATCAAAGAATATTGTTATTTCCGATACATCTAACTTTTTATTTCTTTCTCGTCTCTTAATTATTTGAATAATTTATTCGAATTGATATCGTGTACCATCAATCAATTACATGAGTTGAAGAATAGCTAAATGTTAGTTTCCACCTTACACTTATTAATACAAGTTTTATAATACAAATTTTATTGAACTCCAAATATAAAAAACATGATTAATGCGAATATTTATAGGATTCGGTTTAATCAATTGGTACATAAGTATTGAATTCTTTAGGTGTTTTTTGCGCACAATATTCATTATGCACGCAAAGATGGTCCTCGAGCAGAGGAGATTTGGTTGCGATAGACTTGACTTCAAGTTTAGACTGACATCGTGCTGCTCTTTTAGGTTGCTTATGATGATAGTATCGATGTCTATGCCCGTGTAATGTACTATGGTAATGAACATTATGAGGATGCATTGGTCGAATTTCATGAAAGTTTAGTACCGCTGTGAATGCTAGTAACATGACGTTAAAGAATATTAAGATTTCTGCAAAGAGGAGATATTCATCAAATGTGAGTCATTAGGAACAAAATCGCCAATTCGAGAGGGCCAAGAAAAAAAATATACGAACTGAGCAATACAGGTTCCCAACCTCGAAACGTATCTTCCGTCGTCACTTCTGATTGATAGTTTTTTACGATAAACCAATCTCGTAATTGCTTAAACATATTATTTGTTACGTATAATCTTTCGTATTTATCAGCGTAATTGAATCAAAAAATTTAGTATACGGTATTTTTATGGTCTAAACAGAATGCATGTAGAAATGATTTTTTATAAAAAGTGATCATAGACTCGATAGCATGTACATGTATTTATATAAATTCTATTGGACCAAAACGATAAAGTATAACTTACCACTTTTACACGTGCACCACATAAATTATTTAAATACGTTCTCATCTACATGCATTTGGTAAAATAATGATGAGTTTTTTCGTGCTCTAACTAAAGTTTGTTTATTTACACCTCACTGCGCACGAGATTGAGTAGAAACTATAGAATAAACTATAGAATATTTATTACTAGCTTGATGCGCATCAGGAAAAATCCAAACTCTAAAGATGCGTTGAATGGTTTCACTTTTATACCTGTACATGCATAATCAAAAATTATAGCCCAAATTTAGTTAGTTTAAAATAAAGTGCCAAGGAGTAATTTGGTTGGTAGTTATTCTTTCTTTGTGTTTTATATGCTAAATTAAAACTATTTTAAACGTACATGAATCGGTGTCAAAAATCGATAAGCAAAATTGTGATCATTTTTGTATGCATCGAAAAATAAATCAGCCTTATTGCGTGGTATAAATTACAATTACAGCCCCCTAAAACGGAAAATAAGGGGACTTATATTATTTTACTATCACGTCTTTCAATTACTCTTATTTTTCATATTCAGAAGGACTAAATTCTCATATGGTTATGATCAGCAGGCATTCTTTAAATCAGAAGAAAATTTTCCGAGATCTAGAGTAATACATGTACATAATACTCCCCAGAAAAAAAGTCTACGGCCAATGGAAAGTTTACGATTCGATTTAATTGCGCATCATTTATGTACTTGATATTTCGTGGGATCGCCCTTTTACATAATTACAGTAAACTGATTCGTCTATTTTTTTTAGACCATTCATCCTGTAAAAAGTTAAATAACTCTTCTTTACTAGTTGGTAGTGAAATATGAACTTGACGTTCCATGTGATCAAGTTCACTCTTTAAAGATGAACAATATTATTGTCTGACTTCTAGTTTCTAACCTAAACCATCTACAGTAAAGCATCATCAAACTATTATCACACACCTTCTACTATTTAAATTTCGGAATTAGACAGTTTCATCATATTTCTCTTTAGGTAATCACGAAAAATAATAGCAAATGTCATCTCTATCTACTCAAAGCGAGACTCAACTCATCATTTCAAATAATGGAAGTCCATAAAAGTCCCAATGTAACCAGTTCCTTTGCCCGTACAATTTTTTTCATTAATAAATGATTTTCTTTTACAAACTTATGCATAAAATTCTTCCGCACGAGGCATTATTGTAAAGTACGTGTAGAAACTTCGATGCATATTGATTGCAAAAATTCGTTTTTGTAAAAACATTTAAAGTTGATTTGCAATCTTTTTTAACTATACGTAGTAAATGACTTGTATTCCCATTTTGTTAGAACAGGTGGTCTCTCATTCCAAATAGGAGGTTTTATTATTCCAGACTTTTTATAATATGACATTACCGTCGATTTGACAAAATTAAGTTTTTTTTTGCGATTAGTGAACCGCATCTCCAAGCACCAACTATCTGATTTCGTTCACCTTACGTTTTGCTTCATCGCCAACATAGACCAAGAAAAAGTTAACAAACTTAAAAGCATAATTTACAGATATACATGTAGTAGCCATAAAAATTTTACAATATATAAATTAAACTTTCTCGCCAAGTGTTGAACACCGCTAAATTCGTCCTCCCATGTAATCACGTGCGTCTTTAAAAGAATATAGAGTTCAATTTTTGAAGATGTGACGATATGGGGGGGGGGACTATAAAAGGAGTGATAACCGTAATAGTGTAATCGTTATAAAATTAAGTTTCTTCATATTTTATCTCGCAAAATGAATATTTTCAAGCCTTTAAACCCTACTAATTGATAGTTTCACGAAAGTTTGCATATCAAATTTCTTTACTTTCGCAAAACATAATACATCAAATTTAATATTGAACTGAGATATATTTGACAAGTTATTGCAGTACTCCCATCATTACTGCATGTATTTCTTATATTTATTCATTAGATACAAACCTTACTATACATGTAACGAGTATGACTTGGCATCTCAACCTTACTATACATGTAATGGGGTATGTCTTGGCATCTCTGCGTTAACCATTTTTGGATCAATTAGAAATCCATTCTTCGGATTATTTTTCCAGATCACATACATGTACAACCGATTAACCATATTTGTAGTAACGATAAGCGATTTAACGTTAAATAATAGTTTATAAACTATCGATATTTGAGCAAATTTTTAATATCATGTCGAAGAATACACTTAGAATGTAGATGTATTGGTAAATTGCCATAGAATGCTATTTGATTGGTTGAGGAACTAACATGCCCAGGACATTCGATATGACAATTTACGATATGATAGAAATCATATCATCTATGAAAATAAAAAACTTATGTGTAATAATCCCTCGCCTAACGTGTAAACTCAATAACCAATTACCGAATATTCTTGCAAATGATGAAACACAATTCTCGGAATACTGATGAGAAATTGAGCGAATTGATGATTGCTATCTGTCATCTAAAGCAGGAATAGTAACGGTAAGACTCTTTTTAACGTTAACATTAAAGTTTGGGATCTAAACAAACCTGATTTAGAACATTCTTCTTTTATGTCATCTGACCAAACATGTGTCAGTAAAGATTTAAACGCAGATCTCAATAATAAAAAGTCTCTTTACAACATGCATAAACAGAAGTCTATAGGTATTAGAATCTGAAATAACTGAAGGCATGATTAGGTTGCAGTCAAAATGTTAATATGGCGTAACTCTTGGTTTGAGAAATGTTTGTTTCTCATTTATTGAATGATAATGATAACGATAACAAAACCTCGTATCTTAAAACGCGTGATTTTCTTTTTTTATTGAAACCCGAATAGCATTTGTTTTGTTCCTTTAATCAAAATTTGTTCACTTTTTATGGATATTGAGAGAGTTCTGAGATCTATAATGATTTGGTATTTTTGAATTGAAGCTTCCATCATACATGACGAAGGTAACCAGCATGAATCCTTTTAGCTTATTTAAACTCTGAGAATCATACTTTCATTACGTTGCTGTTCAACAATGAAAAAGAAATAAATATATTGTTGCTCGGAAAATCCACATTTATAAATGTTTTCGTGAATTATCTTAAATTCAATACGTTAAAGAATGCAAATTCCGAAGATGTGGAGGTACTGATCACGTCACAATTCACATTAATGGATGATGAGTTCAACCTGTGAGAAAACAAAAACAACAAGCACATCAGCAACTCAAGGATGCAAAAGCTGTGTGTTCCACGCAGACGGGAAAACACCTTCTTAAGATTGATCGATAATCCTGGAGTCGGTGAATCGATCAAGACAAAGAAAAATTTTGAAAACATTCTAACGTATATTGGCCAATACAATCACCTGAATGGAATCTGTATCCTCCTCAAGCTTATCAACTACAATTGAATGTAATATTTAGGTTTTGCATACAAGAATTATTTTCACATCTTCACAGGTATGCCAAGGACAATATTGCCTTCTGCTTAACCAATGCTAGATCAACATTTTATCATCAGGAGATACAATAGACTCACTTAAAAACAACTCTCCGACCTCAAGGAAAGACCTAATGTTGAAATAAATATCAACAAAGGTACAGTGTACTGTTATGATAACGAATCATTTCGATTTCTAACAGCAATCAAACGGAATAACCTTTACAGAAGAAAATCAAATAAGTTTCTCAGAGAGCTAGGAAAGATCGATGGAAGAATCATTAAGACTCCTTAAGCATTTTGTGACGTATACACCTCACAAAGTAAAAGATACTTTATCGCTTAACAACGCGAGAAATATCATGATACTTCTTTATAAGCCCCTTGCAGAGGCGGGACAACTCATCCAGACAAACATAGTATGATCCAAGACTAACAAAGGAGATCGCAACTCTACTCAAACCATAGGGCAGCTTGAAGATAGGTTATATATTGAATAGATTGAGCTTGAACCAATACAGCTAGAATATCCTCGAATCGTATGCACAGCCAACATTGTGTCGAAGTCTTGTCCATTGGGCAAAATGGCTCGATAAAAAGATAAACCATAAAATGCATTGTCATGAAAGGTGTTACCGTAAACTGCTGACTAGTATACCTCCTATGATTTATATCCTGTATTGATTTTTGGGTCTGATTTTTGATTTATACCCAAGTATTGTACATAGTATAGTTCAAAGAATTATATTCCTATACAATGGGGAATACCCGGATACAACAACAAAATTTTATTTATTTAATATCTCTAATTATTCTTCACTTGCCCAATCATTTTCATAATCTTCTATTTCATCATATGTCTCTCCATCAATAGAATCAACTGCCAAAACTTCTTCACTATTTTCTTCTACTAAACTCTCATAATCAAAAACTAATTCATCTTCTATTCCATCTATATTTACCATAATGCCACAATATTTGAATACTTTTCTGATTAAGTTAGAATCAATATTATTTCATGATTCTTTAATCCATTATTTAATAGTTGCATATGATAATTTTTGAATATGTCTAGCTGATATTAATTAATGAACTTTATTAACCATTCATTCACTATAATAATTACACATCTAATAAATTAAAAATTTAATGAATATATTTTATATAATCATGATATAATAAAAAAATTAATTTACCTTTTGTTTAAAACTTTTATTAATAATATCTAGTGGTTAAAGTTTGCTAGACAATTCATCTGAAATAATTATAAGATAAGTATTATTTTCTCTGAAATTTTATTTAACTAATTCAACTAAATAATCTTGAAATAAATTCAAAACAAGAAAAGATTTTGGAGTTCCCATCTCATTATATTTAATTTAAATAGTATCAATTCAATAAT